GGCAAATCCCATTGAAATCGCAGATCTCATTCGCAAGGGTGGCCTGACAACAAAAATGAAAATAGCAAAATTGAAAGTTTATATTTTTTTAATTTATTTTTTAATTTTTATAATAGTTAAAGCAAAGATATGCTTTACATTTTCTTAGTGCACCATTTGCTATTTTCTGGCGGAACTGGAAATCATCGTAGCCTGAACTCCTGGAGTGTTACATTTTCACTTTGCACTTCAGAAACAGTCTAAAGTCTTATTTAGAGGAACTTTATTGTACCTTCAACAAAACTGCTTTATTGTTCCAGGTTCTGCAGAACAAGATTCGTTTGCAGACATTGGCAATGTCTTTAGGAATGGTTTATGTTTTTAAGCAGTCTTCTTCCACCCACTATAAACTCTTCTTCTTTGATGACTTCTGTCATTTCTGATATCGCTACATATGAAAAAACAACCATATCATTTATTCTGTGGAGTTTTCATTAGTTTAGTTTTACATTTTTATTTTCGGATTTTGAAAAGGGAAAAACAACAAACAAATAATAAAAAAGCAGTTGCCTTTTTGCAATTTTATTTTGAAACAAAATGAAGAATGAACCATATTTAGTTGTCAAAAGAATGACCAAAAAATTGATAAATAAAATAAATTAGAATGTAAAAATCTTTGCAACTGAGAGTAAAATATAAAAGCAAAGATCATTAAAACATGTTCTTAAAAGGATTGTGACATCAAATATTTGCAATAAACATTAATGCATTTTTTAAAATAACATTAATAAAATATTGCTGAAAAAAATAAATAAAAAAGCCACACTGCTGAGGTGAACATTTGTTCAGATATCCGTGTGTGAAGTAACAGGAAGTGAAGTCAAAGAGGAATGTCTGCATGTAAACAAGGCATTGTTACAATGGCCAACAACATAGAAGAATCTGATGTTTCTTTGGGTTATTTTGAGTCCCTATCAGAGAGAGATGAGAAAAGTCCGTTCAAACAATGTTGTTTCAATGAACAAACAGTACAGTTTTATTTCTTAAAGAGTTCCCCTTTGATGTCACTTCCTGTTTCACTTTACTGAGTCAAGTTCAAAGGAAAATATGCCAGTTATGTGACAAAATGTTATTCAAAGTTTCTTAAATATAAACATGCTTCCAGAATATTTTTTTTCAGAAGGACATACAGCAGGTAAAATAAGTATTGAACACGTCAACATTTTTCTCAGTAAATATATTACTAGAGGTGCTAATGACATGAAATTTTCACCAGATGTCGGTAACAACCCAAGTGATCCATACATACAAAGAAATCAAGTTCAAGTTCAGTTTATTTATATAGCGCCAAGTCACAACATACGTTGTCTCAGGAC